TTCTAAAACCAGGAAAGCCTCCAGAGCAAGTGTCAGGGTACCGACCCATCACTCTCCTTCCTTGCATGGGAAAACTTAGGGAACGCATGGTTCTGACCCGCCTGCAGTATACCTTAGAAAGTCGCCATGTGTTTCCCTCACTTCTGCTTGGTTTTAGAAAGGGAAAAAGCACAATTGATGCTCTGCATATGGTGAAGAACGCTATCAGTACAGCATGTCTTGCTTGTGAGTGCTGTCTGATGGTTTACCTGGACATTGAGGGTGCATTTGATAGCATTTTCACGATGGACTGCATTTCAAACTACATGGCATTGGTGTGGGTGATCAGATGCTGGCCTGGTTGTATAGCTACTTCCAAAATAGAACTGTTCAGGTGCAGGTGGGAGTCAGTAAGTCTGCACCAAAGCCTGTGAAAGTTGGAGTCCCACAAGGTTCAATACTCTCACCAAGTACCAACGCTCTTTAACGTGATGCTGCATGATCTCCCACTTTCCCCTCATGTGAAGCTGGTTGGTTATGCTGATGACATCACACTTGTAAATGGGTGGTCCATCATTGAGGCACAAGGCTACATGCAGCAGTACCTTGATGTGATTGGTGAGTGGTGCACTCGCTGGCAGTTCAAGCTCAACCCAGCTAAGTGTTCATACCAGGTCTTCACGTCTCAGCGTACTGCTCCGGCTGTGTCACATCGAGTTAGCAACAGGAATATTCGATATGTGGCTCATCAGAAAGTTTTGGGATTTTATTTTGATTCTCCTCATCTAACCTTTAAGGAACATGTGAGACAAACTCGCATAGCTTGTCTCAAAAGGCTACAAGTGCTCCAAGCACTGAGTTCTGTGAAGTGGGGAGCATCACAGAAGTTGTTGCGTAGAATATACGTGGCATTCATACGAAGCAAGATGGAGTATGGCTCCACAATTTTGGGGAACATATCTAAGTCTTTGTTGAACCAGCTTGAAACTGTTCAGAACTCAGCACTCAGATACATACTGGGTGCTCATCACACCACACCTGTACTATCTTCACAAGTTGAAAGCTATATTCCTCCACTGCAACTTAGATTCCAATTTTTATTCATAAAATGAGCTCTCAGGTATATGTTGTTGGGGGTCAGCCTCTCTAAAGGTTGACGGTCCGGCAGGTAGGTATAGTACCAGCACATGAAACCAAGCAGAACACACTCATGGGAACAAACAGAGGAAGAACCAAGCAAAGATATATTAAATAAACTCAATGGTACATGAAGATGACAGGTGAAAGTTGGTTAGTAATGAGACAGCCCAGGGCTACGAGTGATGGGGTGAACCTAGCATGAAAATAACCAGCAGCCCAAACTGGTTGAACAGAACAGAGTTAACAAGAATAACTGGTAATTGACAAAAACTGGGCCTGGATAATAATGCATGAACTAGATCAAATCAAAGTAGCAAAAGAGATATAACAGTCTTGAAAATTGGTCCTGGATCGGTCCTGGTCGCGTCCAACAGGCAATGTCCGTAATGTGGAGGAAACGAGAAAGCAGTTGTCTTACTTGCAATGAGCAGTGGGGGAGACTCAACTGGCCAACTGGCAAGGTACAGAAATAGTCTCTAGACTAAACTGGGAGATGCCCAAGCCCTGGTCTCCAGCTCAGCGTGGAATCCACTAGCCCCAATCTGGCCTGGAACACGCTCCAAATTGGCCAAGAATATGCTCCATGTTGGCCGCTCTGCACAAGTGCAGGAACAAGAACACATAAAACCTATCCAACAATAACACTTGAAAGTTGAAACACATAAGTACACTAGGAACACATAAGAAGAAAGTGATCTACCTAATGCAAACTGTAAAACAATTTTAAGGGAATTTAAAAGCAAAGAAAAGTCCACAAAAATTCATATCTTTATAGAAAACGTTTTGGAGACCAGCTCCATCGTCAGTTCGTAGAATCTAGAATCACAAATCAGAAGTCACAAATTAATACATTGAAAGCACAGAACAAAATTAAAAACCTAAATTTACAAGTAATAGAGGGAGCAAAAAAACTATCTATTAACAATTTCAAGGGGATAGGAGCTAGCAGCTGAATTCAAACTGGGCCTAAGTTTAAAGATGTTCAGCGATTCTAAAATGCGCAAATCAGAAGTCCCGGAGGTGGAAGCTAACACCCTAAAGTCAAAGTTGTGATTCTAGATTCTACGAACTGACGATGGAGCTGGTCTCCGAAACGTTTTCTATAAAGATATGAATTTTTGTGGACTTTTCATTGCTTTTAAATTCTTAGTTAATTTGCGATTTAAGCAAACCAGTGATATAAATTTAAAGGGATGATTGATTATATGTACAAACATTTACTGATAACATTCAATAATTAAAATTTAGGACTGAGATGCGTGGCAAGAGTATTTCATAAAGAGCCGTGATAGTCTTGGGGTAGATTAGTGACAGATCAGTAGGCAGTAGTAGGGACAGAAAGCATGTTCATTTACAGCAGGTCAGTCAGCATGGGTGAGTAGCAGGTCAGTATGAGTGCAAGTTATGCAGGACTTTGGAAAACTGACTCTCTCTAAAACACTGCTTCACATTCACATGCACAAATTTAACTTTAACTAGCTGTCACTTGTTTAGTATTAAGGCACTAGGGACACAAAGAAGATAATTAATTCAAACAATTAAAAACGATCAATAAATAATGAATTTACCAAAATATGGCCCCTAACAATGTACTTGCCTGTAAGAGATCATGTGGCGTCTACATTAGGGTTCCTAGATCAGCAGATCCTCTTGGACATGCCTTTTATTGTGCAAGCTCGTCAAAGTTTCCAAAAGTATAACCTTCCTCCCCTGCATCGAGTTCCCACGCCATTGATGTCAACATTTCCACCTCATGTTGAACTTTCCTCCAGTATATGTGTAGACTTGCTGAGCTCTGAAGTAAATTCAATGCCCCCTGAACATGCACAAAATTGCTTCCAAGACTTCTGGAAACTGCTATCCTCAACATCTGCAAATCTACACCGCTGGATCTCGTTCTACCACTGGATCAGTGTCTGCTGGTCTATATGTGCCATCCAACCACTTGGCCACTAGGTGGTTGCTGAATCCCGTGCACACTGTATTGGGGGCCGAATTGTTTGCCATATACAAGGCAATGCAGCTTGCCACTACCGACATATCTTTGCAAGGTGAGCCGGTGTTGATCTTGACAGATTCAAGAGCAGCACTGGAGCTTCTATCTTCTGCATCTGGTGGCTCATATCACTCAATTGTTGTCAAAATTCATCAGTTAATGCAAACTAAGGGGCTTGATAGAGTGGTGATGTGCTGGGTTCGTGGCCATACAACGCAACATCCACGGAAATGAAGTGGCTGACAGGGTGGCAAATCTTGCACACTCAAACAATCGTTCTGCAAGATCCCTTTTGTGTTTTGAGGAGTGGCTGTGTTTGTTGAAGTCCAAATTCTTGAAACACTGGGCACTCTGGTGGGCAGAAGAAGTGCAGTCCTCAGGGAAGGGAACCTTTAGGCATGATCTGGGAGCAGTGGTAAACTACGTGGACTATGGATCGCTTCCTCGCTCAGTAGAGTGTGCAGTAGCTTGGCTCTGACTGGGACATGCTGGGGTGAAGGCCCACCTGGCCTGTTTCAACATGGCTAATTCTAGCATCTGCTCCGAGTGCAACGCAGAAGATACAATCAGACATTTCATCTTGAGCTGTGCGCTTTACACTGACCAGAGGAGGAGTTTCGCTCAAGTTTGGAAGCTTTATCATTACCTTGGACCCTCATCTCGGCTCTTGGTGGGGGAGATATCCCACAACGAAGAAGAACTGATGTAATACGTCATCTTGGACAATACCTGCTGAGATGCAGCATGGTGAACACCCTTTGAAAATACTCAGTGCCAAATTCTCTTGTCTCTTCTACACAATAATCAGCAGTTGGTGAGCGACAGAAACCCAAATTGAAAGAAAAGCGGCAAGATAATACAAGTTTTTCAACAAAAAGTTGTGCTCAGGCTGGGAGGTGTGATATATTCATACCCGAAGTCTTAAAATCAATTATAAAAAAAAATTCGTTTCCATTCTGCACAATGCTCTCACGTTTAACAGTACGAGGTTCTTATGTCAGAGAGCAATCTTAAGACTCAAGGTTATACTTCTGTTCTTTTATATTCTATCATTCTATGCTTGTATAATGGCACGAAATGCACCTTTTAATTCAGTGATTCAGCTTTTAACCTCGTCCGTGAAAATCTAATCATTCTATTCTTCACTGATAATGTCTTAAATGATAATTGGATTAGTGATTTGTCATGGCATCTTGATGTATTGCCTCTAAATTCTTGGTCAATTTGCAATCTAGATGAAGGCAGTTCAATGAAGGCAGTTCAGAAGCGAGATGAAAAGCAAGAAGATTGACTACCTTTTGTGATTCCTGTGATGGGAAAGTCATTTATTTGCGTATCTTGCTTCTCATTGAGGCATTCACCTCGAGCTTAGTACTTTCAGATGCCCAGTGTTTATTGTTTCTGCTATAATAATTCATGATTGAACAAACAATACATTTTCAGCTTGGAATACCGGACGCCTTGCAGTTCTTGCATTTTTATCTTTTATATGCACTGAACAACTTGTGCTTGATTTGTACTTCTTATATTGTTCTGATTAAATTTTATAACATTATTATATGCTTTTATAATCCTTTTTCTCTATACTCTATCAAGCTTACATAAAGATATGACCATGGTTTACGTCATATATGATTTTTTAAAAAAGTTTTATTTTTTTTATGAATGTACCATATATGGCGCATGTTGCAGTTTGGGACATGCATGCATGTACCATATATGGCGCACGTTGCAGTCAAAGTGTTAAGCTTCACAGTTAAAAATGAGTAGCAATTTTAGAGCATGTGGCCTCTATGTTGAGCATGTCTAGAAGCCTCTATGTTATGTAAAGTACAATTGTTTCAAATTTAGGCTGTTTTTTAGAAGCTTGCACTATCTATATGCTAACATCCTAATTAATATTCTTCCAGAAAAATGTCAAGTGAATCACTTCCCTTGGATTTTGACATTTACCTGAAAGAAACTCTCATCAACCTGAAAACAGATGATGAAATTTTTTCTCCATACATTAAGGGCATACTAGAGGGAGATGAGTCGCCAGAAGATAAAAATGAAGCTCTGCAAGGAATAATTTCGGAAATAACTGTGAGTCGATATTTTATTGTGGTTATCAGTCTTAGAGAAATAGATTATTCAATTCATTTACTCACAATATATTTTATTAATCATTTTTTTTGCTGCATTTCATTCTGCAAGTGTTGAAACATAACAAAATCGATTTCAAATTATTATGATGCTATTGTAATCTCATTTTCAGGATTCTGGCATCGAAGCCATTTGTGAAGATATACTCAAAAAATGGTCATCTTGCTCTGGCAAGAATTCCTGTAACTGTGAATCTCAACCAAGTCTGGTGAGCTCCTATTGACTGATGTTCAGTCAGGAAATTCTACATAATCAATTTTTTATAGAACACCTATTTTATTACTTTGATGTTTAGAGCTCAACATTCCAGGTTTCACTATTTAAGATATTGTTAAGGAAGACTAAGTTAATGAAACTTCCATTACTTGCTCCAAACAATGCATCTTAAGGGCTCAAGAAGCATTGAGCAGTGGAATGGATTTCAATTCAGGTTCATTAATATCAGTTGATGAAAAGCATGAAATATTTATTTCTTATAGCTGACAAGTACTTTCTTTAAGTGCAAATATTTTTAGAACTGAAAGGTTTTCACAAATTCTACTTCTAACAAAGAAAAATTTGCTGATATATTTTTGGTGGATAAATTTGATGATTAATAAGCTAGTTCATTGCATGTGTATTCAAAACCAGCATTAACTTGGTCATTTGGACTTGAAGATTTTGAATACCCAGCCCTTGCATTGCTTCTTGACTGAATTGAAGGATGAACTGCTCATCTTGCTTGATGCAGAGCCCTGCATCGCTGGATATTCAACTGGCCAAGCTTATGGAGAAGCAAGCTTCTTGTATAGCCACAAGTTTGCCACCTATTAAGAAACCAATCAGCAGAGAGCAGGAGCAACTCAAACAGGCGGTTCTAGCCCAACATGCTCAGGTCAGTGGGACCTATGAAGCACTATGAAGCCATCAAGATTTCTGCCTTGCGGAATATTTGGATACAGTGGTCAGTCAAATGTTAGAGTGCTTCAGTCGGCAAAGACAGTTTAGGGTGCTCTTGTTGGTTGGCAGTATAGAGATTCTTTAGTCAATCGCCATTCATTTGGTCAGCCATTGACATGTAAGTTAGCAATGCGTTGAATCTATGGATCACAACTGAAGTAATATGTTGTGCTTCATACTGGTGTGTCGTTGAACATTAATGGGGAAATGTATTGTATGAATTTCACCATTGCAGGGCAATGCTAGAAATTGAAGTGATGATACATGTGTTGATTCAGCTATTTAATATATTGGTCTGGTTGTTTGATAGGTCAAGGTTACTGAGAAGTTTTGTGCTACAGGTATCGGCAGTGTGTGATGATGGCGAAGAGGAAGAAGTAGAGGAGACGAGGAGTGATGGACTACTTGCAAAGAACACAAATGCTGCAGCTGTAGAGCAGGAAATGCGACAGAAGAGGGAACAGAGAAAACTCGAGCACCAAGTCAAAAAAGATAAAGACAAAGCTGAAAGGTAACATCGATGTATACAATTGGCCTCTTTTAATGAATTTTGTCAAAGAAACAAGTGAATGAAATATTCAAATTCTGCAGTAGTTTTAATTCGGCAGTGTTTGAAGTTGTAATTTTAACAAAAACTACATAGTAGTCACCTCAATGTGATAAAAATTTTCCTCCTGCCTGCAGAGAGAAACAGAAAGCAAAGGCAGAAGAGAGGAAGGATAAAGAGAAGAAGCGTACGCAGAAGGGAGAACGAAAGCGGTGATGTCGATTCATTTTTTAGCTTTATACTGTGCAGCAGAAAATTTTTATTGGAAATTAGCTTTCCAATTATAATTTGTATGTGGATACCTGCCAGATGAATCTCCTTCAAATGATTTTCCAAATGTACATTTTTGAGAGTTGTTGCAAAGCCACTGAAAATTGCTAAAAACGTGAATTTCAGCATACTTTGCACTTGTGCGTTAGATTTTAAAGTGAACCTATAATATTGAGGTGAACTGATACAGCTGAATGAATATTCACTTATCAATTAGGAATCAGTAAACCAAATGTGGCGCAAGTCGATCGCTGCTAAGAGGTTCTTCGAGCCCCATATGCACTTAAACATCCCGTATATATTGCAGGTTTCATTGAATACCAGAGAGTATTTCTTATCAACAATTTTCTTACTGTTTTTCTCTATGCAGCAAATTAGGCTTTCGATAGGACTTGAAAATTCTGATATCAGGTTTTCAATTTACCTTTTATTATAATATACATTTGACGTTTCGAATGCAACTGCATTCATTATCAAGTAGGAGAAGAGTTTTGCAATACTTGAATTTGAAATGATGAAATGACGTTTGTACAAACGTACGGTATTATATATGCAGATAGAAAGTCAGAACTTGAATTACGAGAAGCAGGTCTCCAACGTCGCGCGAGTGAGTGTCTCATTATGAGCCTCCCTCATGTGGTTCTTCGGTCCTCCGGTCTGGAGGTGGCATGTTAGGCGGCGGCTCAAAGTCGTGCTGGTCAAACCAATGTAATTTACATTCTAGAGAAATCTACAACCTTCTTGTGGCATGAATATTTATAGATAACGTCGCTTTCTTGTAATGGTCCCGACTTTTTGCATGAATTATATTTCATTGTTTAATTATCGAGTTTCATGATTTTATAGTAAATCAGGAGTTTGATTCAGTCGAAAGCGGTTGTGTTTCTGATGTTACTCAGCACAATTGCTTTGAGGACTCGTTCATCTGTCTTGTTATAGCTTCTAATCATTTGATTCTGGTAATAGATTGTCGTAATACTTTGATTGGATGCTGTTTTGTTATCCGTTCGGTTTTGATGTACTTGATCGTTTGAAATTTCAGTGTCGATAGTTTTCTTTGCATGACCGTTGCTTACTAGAATTGCTTGGAGATCAGGAGTTCACTTTTCAAGTCACCAGCGGATGTACACGTTTCGAATGCTCTTTGTATATTAGGGCGTGCATAGTCTGGTTTTGTATCTCTGCAGACATTCGCTTATCTCGTTCAGTACGGTACTTTTCCGACGCTTCTAGCTTTTTGGTAAACTTTGGTTACAAACAAATTATCCTCTACAGAACCAGCCCAGGGCAAGTTAAAAAAATTATCGTCATCATCCTCTGCTTCAACACAATTTGCAGCAGCATCGACATTGTGGGAATCGTCTAATAAATTATGGAGCTCATTCATCTGGGCCATGTTGTCTTCTAGATCATCGACTTCAGTGCAGGACATGTGGGAATGATTTGGAGCAGCGCGATGACGATCACATTGATAAACTCGTTTCTGAAAAATGATGGTTCATTCCTGTATCAAGAACGAATTTCTGCGCGTGAGAATAAAACGACAGTCTTCACTGCCCATGCACCGTACGGACAAAACGACTTAAGCACCTCCAGTAAATCGGAGAGGAATTCGCTTGAATGTGTGGCACACCGCGACTTGGTCTGACTACCCGACCAACTGAGAAATGTTTTTAGGGATTTCAATTATTTCTCTTCCACATAAATAAAGAAAGTCTCCAATTCAAGTCTCGCAAAGTTTTACCATTCTTCGAATAAGGTCCACTGCGCTGACGACAATCAAATTCCGCAAAAAAATCTGTTGAAAATGTGTACATACTTGTTGTGATTTATCTGGTTTCGGCTGGGATAACTCAGGAACCACTTGCCGCTAAGTAACTTCTACGGTACGACTCCATTGCAGCGCACATCACAAGGATGTACCAGTATCACCTTTGACCCAGTGCCTATCCCCCTCCGCAAATTCCTGCACAGATCAATGAGGATTATTTTGAAAATTCATGCAAAGATCAATGCTGTTAATGTGGCACAACCCCTTGAGAATTGCGGTTGCTTGATGAGCATCAGGCGTGACTAAGCCCAATTCAACAACATATAAGAGTGCCGTTTCAATAGCCAATAGATCACGAAGCGTTTCATTTTGAAGAACTTGCTTGAGTAAGCGTGCAGTTCTCTATCAATCACTGTGCTCAACTAACTGTTCACAACGCAACACTTCATGAAAAATGTGTAAAGGAAACTAGAGTGAGAAGACAATGTAGGACTGAATTCAAAACGACGCACGAGTTAAACGGAACTCCCTCCCCTGAAAATGGAACGAGAGCAGGTCTACAAGCAGCTGCATGGGTGAGCAGGGTGGACAATTTGCCAGAATTTTGAAATGGGCGATCCGAGGGCTGACTAACTGAACGGATATTTTCCGTCTGTATCTGAACAAAATCGACGGCTCCTACGTGACGCCCACGAAAGACACCCAGAAATGAACAGAGTCTCTATGCCCGAACGGCTAGCTCCTCTCATCTCGGCGCCGCCATCACTGCGCGTCGTCATAATATGCCTATAATGCTCCTGAAACTACTTTGCATCAATCGAATTGTGCCATGTTTTGTTCGCCGATTTACAATTGACTACAAATATTCAGCAGTATCAATTTAACAATATAGGTTAGCTTTCGAAAATCTAACTACGTTGTAAGGTCACATTTTTTTGCAATTAATTACTGCAAGTGGCAATTTACTTACACCGACTCGTTTCCACTGCAACATAATAAATGAATAACATAAATTGCGTGAATAGTAATTAAAATATTCAGCAAATGAAGCGTCATGAAGATATTAGGATAAAAAGACACGTTTTCCAAGTAATTTTTACTCAGTCAAATATGGTGTTTCTGCATGGTTGAGTCAATCATAATCGCAGCTTTCTCGAACTGAAGGAAATCATAAATCGTTATAAAATAAATACTGATGAAACAAACATTAGTTTGGTCTTACTTCCCTTTGTAACTTCGGCACAGGCGGGTGCAACGTTTCAACGGGCAACCGCCCTATTAGACACTGATGTCTGGAATTAGTAGATAATATATTACAAGTTTCTCAATCACGGTAAAAGTAGGCTTTATAATCTACTTCATGGCCGCCACGAAGTCTTCTCCTTTCTTAATACTTCCCTTCAACTCAGGCAGTGCTTCCTGCACAAGCTTAGACTCGAACTCGGTGAGCTTGCCGAGACCCAGATTTTTCTCGATTCCATTCTTGCCAAATAAGATTGGCGTCGAGAAATATTTGGCCTCCGTGATGTCGGACCTGCATGACAATAAGAAAATAAATCGGATATTCGTCGCCACGTAGAGTGCATTGACAAAATATTTTTTGTGGGATTTTGCGAGCTGTGGACGATGGTAGAAATACAGGATACGAGACTATACCGATTGTAGAGCGTCCCTAATAATGATCCACATGATAGATTAGAATATACATTGATGACGAATGTGCAGCTGCTAATAATTTCAATATTCTCCGTTCAAATACAATGAGCTCATCTTTTGTGTGAGAATGAAATGGATTTAGTGCCGAAAACCAATGCCTTCTTTGTGCTAAAATATTTTCTACTTATAAGGAAGAATAATTTAAATATAGACGAACAAAATTTCTCATAAAATAAGTAGGTAAGTGAAGTTAAACATAGTGTTATAGTTACTATTTTCATGATTTTATTCACACTGCACACATTTCTTGAGTTTTTCTACAGCGGTTTTTCCTCTGCATTCTAACCTGAAGGCGGCACCTCACATGGATTCTCATCTTCCTCAATTATCCTGGAGACTTTTCTAAATATTTTACTTAAAAAAATGTTTGACTATGCCTAGCAAAGCGCCAAAAAGCACTTGACTATGCTTGGCTAAGACACCCGTCGAACCAAGGTGCCGTCCATGACAAAGCCTGACGAAGTGCCTCACCTCACAAAGGAGCACTCAACGATGCCCTGCTCGCCATTCAAGGCCTTGATAACAGAAATGGCGAAGCGGGCTCCTGCATAAGCCATGGAGAGCGTCGCTGATCCAGCACCAGCCTTAGCCTTTACCACTTCAGTGCCAGCATCCTAAGGAAGTTAAGTTGTTAGCATTGATATTAGTGACAATATTTTGTAATTGACAACTGCTTCTGGCGTCACTCGGTGTATCGCTTTTACAATTACGACCAACAAAAGATCCCGCATTGTGCAAAAGAATATTCACAGCCAGGTTCTAGCATAAAGTTACAAATTTAGATAATTATGAGGAAATTTATACTGTCAGCTACAAGCGGGCAAATGATACCGCTGAGGTAGCAAAGTCAAAAATTAGCACAAGGCATTGAATAATTCTAACATCTTTCTAGAAAATACTTTGAATTTGACAAGGAAATTTGCACACCTCCAATATTATTGTATCGCATTTGTCGAAATGAATATTTTAATATAAAATTCAATTGCAATAAACTCCAATTCAAGCATACGTCATTTTTGAGCAGTAAATTGTTCCTGCAATAATAATAATAATAATACAGGCACTTGCCTGTATCCTAACAGTGAGAGCCTTGAGCTGCTCGTCAGGGAAGGTGACTGCAGGAGAGCACTGTGAGGTCAGGGGGATGATGGTCACACCAGCATGGCCTCCAATAACGGGGCAATTGACAGTAGCGGGGTCCAGTCCCTTGAGTTCGGCAATGAAAGTGTTGGCACGTACAATGTCCAGTGTTGTGACGCCAAATATGCGGCTTGCGTCCGCCCCAACCTTGCGATAAACTTCTGAGGCAATAGGCACGGTGCTGTTCACAGGGTTACTGATGATGCACACCATTGCTGATGGGCAGACCTGCCATCAATAACAGCATCGCATGATTACGTGATATTACACAATTGACACTTAGCGTACGTTTTCAAGAATCCGTAATTTAGTAAAATCTATAAAAACAGAGCAAAAAAAAAAGGCCTATGTCTAACTTTCCTGCCAGCCATCATTCATTCTGAAAAAAACTTTTGTCTATGGTCCAGCGACCAGCTTTGAGAAATTGTCTTTGGATTTCATTTATTTATATTTTAGCACATTCCTGTACTTGAGCTCTGTAAACTGTTAATGTATTGAGCTCTACTTTTAAGCTTTATTGTCATTAGACTGTACCTACTCGTACAAAAAAATTAAAAATTCAAAAGCCCTGCCAGATATTAGTTGTGCACATTCCAAACACATCAAAGCAACATAAGGTGAGCCGTGCAAAACGAAGTCAGTATCACCGAATAGCCTAGCCGCTCATTTGTTTCCGGAGATTACCTTAGCGCAGGCCTGAGAAATGGTGGCCACAATGGAGGCGTTGGTGTTGAAGAGGTCATCTCTGGTCATACCAGGCTTGCGCGGCACACCAGCAGGCACAACAACAACTTCTGCTCCCTTCAAGCTGGTCTGGAGAACAGATCAATTTTAAAGACAGTGGTGCTGAGTAGTTTGAAAAATACCAATATTTTGAAAAAATCATGTGCAATTTATTCAAAACAATCTGCATAGGAAGGCATTACATCCATGTTAAGTAAACTTGCAAACATACAATGTAAAGACCGTATAACATTTGATACCTCAGGGCTCAAAGTGTCAACATAATATGGAAAATATTCATGCCATGATTTGATCAAATTAAAACTCATTCATTCCTCTGGAATTTGCTACATCATCCCTGCATTCAGTAACCAAAAATTAGCATACTTTTATAACCAATTTATAATGCAAACAAACAGGTATCTAAACAATTTTGACCTAATTAGCATATTATCTTATTTTAGCTCTTCAAGAATTCAGATCAGAATATCTGTTAGTCAACTTAGATAGCATTTATTTAAATATTTCCTATATGGATACAAAATGCTCATTAACATCAGCAGGATCCTGCCATAGAAAGACAGGTTACCCACATTATTATTGATTAAAAATTTTAATTTAAACATGAAAACTCAAGTACATTGTATCAGAATCTTTTGAAGGTATCACTGTCAAGGGTAGCACAAGTTATTATTTTAAATAATATTAATACAGTGTATGGATAAATTTGTTACCTATGAATAATTATGTTGACAATAAAATTTAACAATTACTTCATCCTAAAAAATTTAATCATACATGAAACTGTATATAAACAATTGACAATACAGGATATGGACTATGTATCAATTTCCTTATTTTATAGCCAATTTGCTATGTATCTCAATCATCCTACATGCTAGACTGCAACCTAAATGCTGCTGCAACTTGAGTGAATATTGGCACCAGTGGCAAAATTAAATTAAAGCAATAAATTATTCATTGGAGCTTCTAAGAGCGCAAAAACTAAAGATTTATCCCATTTTTCTTTGTGTGTAGCCATAGAAAATATCAAAGAATTGTTTGAATTTCAAATACAGGTGATATTGATTGGAACTTTTGGTAAACACAGAACATAACCAAAAAAATATAACTCAGTACTCACTGCAGTGAGTGACAGAGAGCGCATTTTCTTGTCGATGAAAACTTGAGGTTACGGACGGACAGATGGACAGACAGAAAAATGCACAATAGTGCATTTTTTCCATAAATGATAAAATGTGCTAAAAATGACATGCTCACAGTCAATTCCAGCACAAGTTTGCTTTGACAATGAATGTATTATAAACCACATAAATTTGAAAACTTCAGTTTTAAACAGCATTAAACTCATGGAAGTCAATGAAAAACTCTTCAGAAGAATATCAACTGGTGTAATTTTAGATTATTTTACCCTTTAATTGGATATTGGTAAAGGTATAAACTTGATGGATATCAACTCGATATTTATATTTGTAATTAGACATAATTAATAAGGAAATAACAAAACTTACCTCAAGTTGATCAGCACCCACAAATCCTTGAACCTTGGCCTTGCTTTCAATGTGTGAAAGATCAGCAGCAACACCAGGAGTGTGCACAATATCATACAGTGAAAGCTGAGTCACAAGTGGGCTGTTCTTCAGCAGTAGAGACAAAGGCTGGCCAATGCCTCCACTAGCTCCCATCACTGCAACATGACGGCTTACCTGTAAACACATTTAAATGGTAAGATCTTAACCCTGAACAACAAATATAACATGCTATAAGAAATCTCACATTATAAATTTTTCAGTAAAAATTAAGGCCTTTAAATAGATACTCTCAAGTATGTTATCAGCACAAGCAAACTTGAACAGTTTAAGCAATTACAATGTATATTATGAATTAAACTATAATTATGCAATGCATGAAACTGCAGGAATTGATCCACGAATTAATGAGATAAAATTATTGCTGCACCTCATGGATGAGAGAAAAAAAATTTTCTCAAAAGATTACAAAAATATTCATATATACACCTTGGCTTTTCTTACTCAGCTAGCAGTTGTGAAAAATAATTTATTTACATTCAAATTCAGATAAAAATTATTTTGTGAATTCCTAATTTGTTGTTGATAGAGATTAGAGAATGCAAAGAAATTATTGTCATATCAACAACAAAAGTCTTAAATACTATTGCTTCCACATTTGGTAATGTAACAATCTGGAACATCAGTCAGAATTTCCCAAAATTCTGGCTGAAAATGATTGTTATGGGCGTTTGTTTGTCTGCTACAAATGTTTAAATTAATATTTAACACACTTCTACATTTTCTACCTGTCCAATCAATCTGAAACTTTGCACACTTGTGTAAAGTTGGAATTTTGGAAACAATGCATGAATCAATTGACACATAAATCATTTTACAAAAAATTATATATTAAAAAATTCTAAAAAAATAATTTCTTTTAAATATCTAAAAATAAAATAAGAAATTCATTGTACATGTGTAACATCGGTCCCGGAGACACTGGCCTCTTCATAAGTGTTGTCTTTACAAAAGTAATTTTTGACCTACATATTTTTACAAAAGAAATTGGACATAGGCCATAGGGAATTTAGGATAGGTATAATTGTCTCGTCTGCAAGATTGGGCAATTTAGTCTCATTTGACATTTCCAGTTGGTTTCAGCCAAATTGTTGTTTTGGTAACACAGATATTCCTTTTGCCATATATTTTAGTTAGAGAAGTTAAAAGTAGAATTTAATTATCTTGTGCCAATGTGCCAGGAAAGCTGGAAAGGCAACTGAGATACATTTAAGTTGGTTTGTAGAAGTTCTACAAAGTCCATAGTGGCAAATATTGGAACAGTAGAAGCTGTAGAACCTCAACCATGCAACTTTACCTAGGTTAGGCTAGGTAAATTACCTGTATATTCAAACAAAACTAAAAAATTAGACAGAAGCCACCCCTGAGTGAAACACAAATGCGGGAAATGCATGTGTGAGCAGACAAAATAATCAATTCCTATTGCCCTTTCCTAATATTTAACAAAAATGCTAAGTGCACTTGTAAAGTAGGTAGACAACTAAGCATTGTAGTGGCAAAGCAGAAAGTTTTTCAGACTCTCCCTATAGTCAGCTACAGCTAGTCCCTCCAGTTCATTTTTGAGTCCTATAAGTAGACCAGTAAAGTATCATGGATACCAGCATTATCATACTTAAGAAAATGGTTTAAATCTCAAGTTATTGAGGAAATTAAAAATGAACTGATTCCAAAAAAGCTCTGGTTTGCCACTATGCGAACTAAGACAAGTAAATCATTGAGGATACCAGCATTTGCATATATAAAATATTAGTTTAAATTGCAAGTAGATGAGATTAAAAGTGAACGGATTTAAAAAAAAATATATGTGGTATAGGCTATAGCACTATCCACTATGACTATGCGCCCCTCAGCCAAAGCAGAGAGTTTTTTAGACTCTCCCTCAAGTTCATTTCTGAGTCCTATAAGTAGACCAGTAAAGTAGGTATCCTAGATACCAACATTATCATACATAAGAAATTGGTTTAAATCTTAGGTAAATGAGGAAATTAAAAATGAACTGATTCTAAAAAATCTCTGGTTTGTCACTATGCCCTCAGGCTCCCAGCCTCCCGGTGCCGACTGCCGGTAGTGCCGGACTGCCGGTACTGGCGCCCTGCGGTAGAACCGTTAACCGTAGAGCCAGAGGTAGAACGACTGGAACTACTAGGTACTAGCCTAGCCTATTTAGCTATTACTACTATAATACATCAAGCATAGCATAAAAAATAGTCGTGAAAAATCATCTTACAACTGATGATGTGGAGAATTTTTTAGCTAGTTGAGTTGCAACTGCCTTGCTAACAGTTTGGGCGATGCTAGAAGCCAGCATTTTGAAGGCGATCTATGACCTTAACGTTACACAGCGACACAACAAATGCAACTGAAAGCCAAGTGCCTGCCAATTGCAGCCGTCACTTCGCGAAGGTCAAAACTTGGACGCAATAATTTTACCCTCAAAGACAATTGGAGAATAAAAGCATAAATGATATTTCTAGCAACAAAGGACACCAAAAATTTTATTATTTTCTGGACTTTCAACAATTATTGCTCATTCAAAGCAATTGAGAAGATTTAATTGAATGTGTTAATACTCAGGACACGTGACTGCAGTAAGATCACTTATAATTTTGTTTGATGATTTATTGAACATTATTGGATTCATGAGTTCATATCGTAAATTAATTACGGAATGTGTTATCGATCAATTCTGAGTCCCTTATAAGTTCCATTGAAAATCGCGTGTTGAAAATCAAGCCTGAACATATATTTTTCCATAGCTTTATCTAGTCTGTTCTTGAACGCGTTTATACTCGAAGCGTCTACGATGTAATCGGGGAGGCTATTCCACATGTCGGTGATTCGAAGCGTGAAGAAATGTTGTCGCGTGGATGAGTTGCAACGCATTTTCTTTAGTTTATAGCCGAGGCCCCTGCTGTTGGTTCTTGTTTCAAATTCTAGTAATCCTTCTGGGACCTTGAATAAGTATACCTCAATGAGGTCCCCACACAATGTCGAGAACAGAGGCTTGGAAGCTTCATAACCTTTTATCTTTCTTCTTACAACTTGCCTTCAAGCCTGGAATTATCCCTGTTGCACGTCCTTGAACACTATCTATTAAATTTTAGCAATTTTCATGTCTTGGTGACCACAGGGACATACCAAACTCTAGATTCGCGCGCATCACAGCAACGAACAACTGCTTCAGCGCTTTTGTATCTAGTAACTCGTATGAGCGTCTGATCAGTCCAAGAAGTTTGTTGGATTTATTACCTTGCGTTTCTACATGCTTAGAAAGTTTCAGCTCCTTATCGACATAAATTCCAAATTATTTCTCCGCACTAGACTTTCAGTCATTACTCTTTCGTTGCAACCATATTTTCTCATACTGTAATCTAGTTGTTCATTGTTCTTCCCGTGTTGAAGTCCTTTACACTTGTCAGCATTAAAACGCAGCTGCCACGTATCAGCCCAGTTAACTAAACTGTCAAGATCATCTTGCAATTGCGCTATATTTGACCCATCCTTCACTGTATTATAAACTTGAGTGTCGTCGGCATACGTATGAAGCACACGCTGGACACTACTACTGGCAGATCGTTTATAAAAGCAAAGAACAAAATAGGCCCCAGAACGCTTCCTTGTGGCACGCCACTGCGCACTGATGCTCAGAATGACACCGTTCCGTTACCACTGACATGTTGTCGTCTCCATACTGGAAAATCTCTGATTAATTGGAGTACATTTCGCTATTTTCCCAAAGATTTCAATTTGCGTAACAGTCGCTTATGCGGAACATTGTCAAATGCTTTGGCAAAATCCAGATACACTGCTAACCACTCATAACTCTTTCAATACTGAATGGATCTGCTCGAAATTTGAACTAGTAGTAGTAGTATGAGGATTGAAGTAGTTATGACTGGTTAGGTTGCTGGGAATGAAAACGTGTTTCACAAAGTGTCATTGCCAAATTTTCAAGAAAGGCCACAAGAAATCATCTGAAATATTTATAAGATTTATTCCACCGTTTTTTTAATTCTTCTCTTTAACAAGTGACGTGAAACCTAGAGAAAGATTCGTCCGGAATACAGCATTTAATTTTTGATATGGATTTCCAAGTAATTCATCTGAATCCAGATTGAGATGTGCGCTGGCTAAATTCGATTAACTATGCAATCGAGAAAGTGAAGAAAGGTATTGATGTTTCTCAAAAAGTTTTTTCGCAACACCAGAAGCACAATAAATGGAACGAGATGTAACGCTATAAGCCATATACATTTGACTAGATACAGAAAATAGCATAAATCTTGTGCTAATAACAGCATAGATTGGACGTCAAGTTCACTACATAATCCAATTTCTTATCTATCTTCGCAATAACATTAAAGAGATGCATTCTGAATCGAAGATGATGTATAGCGAATGTCTAGCGAGGAATGTGTTAGAGATGAAATAATTGTTTATTAGGGACAATACTGCCCAAAAAATGTGACGCTACTAAATAAAAGTTAAAAAAGGCAATGAATTGAGAAGTAATTGAGTCTAGACGCTCATCTAGACTTAAGGGAGTGGAACAAGGGAAATAATGAATTAATCTGGGAATGAGAGGCGAGGAAACTGATCACGTAAGCTTGCAAGGTTTGCTCATGAACGGCTACAGCAAAAATGTACTTTCATCTTACCACGAAATGCATCTCGAAAAAGCGACAATGAACAAAATCTGGGAACAAGGGGAGCAATGGTGGTGGACAATTTGAAAATTACTATTAATAACAATAGATAATGTGTCTAAGCCATATACGACGATTACTTTAACTTCAAGTTCTTGAGATCAACAAATCGATAAATACCATGGACGAATTAATTATGAACAAGACAAAACATAACATTCTCAGCATAAAGTGACTGTAGGCTTAAATTGTTCAGCGCTCGAGAGCAACAGCAATAGTTGTGGTCCAGAACCCGCAAGTCGTGCAGAGACGCTGTGTTATTCAGCGCCCAAGTGGAATACCGTACGTCTGTTTATAGTAGTAGTAGGTTTGATAGCGCTTCATATAGCTATCTATTTTAGCACCGGAAGTACGATCCCCAGTTACGGCATAGGCATTTCATCACTTCTGTTTTCCAGGCTTGCAGCCTGATCCATTTAGGCGCAGGGGTTCGGCGGTAGGTTCTTTGCTCACGGAGCGAGGGTCTGCTCCGGCTTCATGTACATACTTTCGTGTCACAGAAATGGGGCTTGGTCTGGGTGATGGACTAGGTGCATATACAGTTACGCGGCATACAGCCGTGAGATGGTGCCATCACTTGATCTTGCTAGACCTCTGGTACCAAGCTGCATTCTATCAAATATCGTCTAAGGTTGTCAATTCTGAAGTTGCTTCGCAGGTCCTGTCGTAGCATTCTGTTAAGTAGTAGTATGATGGTTTACTAGCGCTTCAGCTATCATGCTATTTCGCACTGGAGATCAAAAGTTAACATTGCCAGTAAGGCGGAAGGTCTCAATTATTCAAAATCTCAAATTAATCATCGCCCACAAGGGGCGGAAGGTCTCAATTGTCCAGCTCGCTGAAGCTGGCTCGAAAGAAGCAGCGTTAGCATCTCAAAGAGACGAAGTGACAAGGAGGGACAGGTGAAATGTAACAGAAACTAAGACACTCGAACAAGAGGTCGCTTACACGGGACGTCGGCCGCCCGCACGAGAGAGACAGAGAAGGGAAATGTAAGGAATCCTACCTACATAATAACTTAACCCCACAACTGAGACCTGCAGTCAGACACCGCGAGCTCAGATGTGGGGCGCTCAGGAACAATCCCCCTAGGAGCGCGAAATTCCATAGGACTTCTGACGAGCACAGACACACGTCAGAAGTCCCCCCTGAGGGGTAGCATTCTGTTAAGCGTCAAGTCATGATGAAGGGCTGATGTGTTGGGGTAACAGTTGTGTCGGATGTCGCTGTAGCAAGGACATACAGTACGGTCGTTGGTATCAGGCAGTCGTCACAGTCTGGCATAGGGCGGTGCTCAATCAAGTAGCCATAAGTGAGCCTGAATGAAACGTCTAAAATAACCAACTACTTAACCCTTTACGCACTGAATTTCTGGGATAAAAATCGTAAAATTCACTTTTTCGGTTTTAAGTCTCACTTCAAAGCTGACATTCTGACCTATCCAACGGTACCAAAATCGTCTCTGTACGTTGATTTATGCCTTGACGACAGTTCGTGAAAGGGTTAGGGGTGGGGAAGTTCTTTAACATTTAATATAGGCGAAAATTACTGGTCGGGCACATAAATAGACAACCTGAAGACGCCGCTCTTTAGTTACCCGGCTGCTGTCGTGTGGGATGGTGCTCATGCAGTCGTTCCCACCATCCTTGACTGAATTTCGGCTCCAGAAATGTCTAGTCTTGCATCTATGCCACCTTGAATGCCTATTTCGAGGGGCTCGGGACTTTGTCGCGCCCTACTGAACATTCACACTTATTGTCACTGCAAACCTATCTCCTCCCAGAGTTTTTAAGCTACAGCAATGAGTAATATACCGTTCGATTCGCAAATAAAAGATCTAGAGATTGGTCGAAGCTTTTTTTCAATTTCGTTATAGTTTTGAAAATATTTTGAAAAAAGGGGAGGGGAAATTCGAGAGGGTGGGGGGGAGAAATCAATTTTTTTGAAAAATGCCCACCCCACCCACAAAAATTAGAATTTTGAAAAACAGCAAAGACCAATCGATAGATATGGTCCTTACGCATCGAATGATGTGCGTCTCGATGTTGTAGCTCGAAAATCATAGGAGGTGAAAAATTTCTACAGTACCCCCTATTTTTCAGTTTTCTATGAATTTCACGTTTTCTTTCACTTTTTTCGAAAAATTCCTACGAACAAAAAAGTCTTAGATTTATCTTTTACATATGTGTACCAAGTTTCAAAGTTATCTGTCAGTAAATAATCGAAATAGTATTTCCATAAGAAATTGGACATTGCTATTGGAAATTGAAAATTTTATTTCGGTTACCTACCGACAGATAACTTTGAAACTTGGTACACATATGTAAAAAATAAATCTAAGACTTTTTCTATTCGTGTGAATTTTTCGAAAAAATGACAGAAAACGCGAAATTGTTGGAAAACCGATGTTTTTTTCTGTGTGACGAATTCGTCACGCCAGGGCGTAAAGGGTTAATAACTTAATCTCGAAAACAAACATGGAAGCCAATCCACGTCAACTGTCCCACTTCCCCAGATAATGAGACGAGAGCTACACTGAACTGAAATCTTCATTCAGATATTGGCTCTCAAATTCCCCGATTTCCAAGCATCAGTTAACACGATTAGCAAAGCTTAGCTATTATACTAAAAAACTGTAAAAACGATATTTCTTACCACAAAAAATTCAATATGAATCCGGACAAACATTATAGGAATGTGCTCATGAGAAAGCAGTGGCCATATCACAAATATTCAGGGCATCTAAGGAAGGAAGCTAAGCTCATCTCCAAGCAATTGGCTCATGCATATGCCTTATAATATAAAAGTCGTTAGCCGAGTAACTACAGCATGTGATACGATTCAAGTAATAATATAAAACATTATAATATAATGGTCAAGAGAAGAGGTTTCGGTAAATTCTAAATAATGTATTAGTTTTTCACTAATAAAATATCGCCCACCAGTGTCACATAGCAGTCTGACGTGGCTGCATCAAGGGGCGGTAGAGCTGCCGAGATTAAGTTAGGAGACAGATAGTACGTCATGTACGTTCAATGAGAACAAGAGAACGGCTTTGCTTGTTAAATACCCTTATTGATTGCGTAGCTAGCTTCACTCTTGGAGATGAATGCGCAAGTTGTAGTCAATTGAAATTGAAATACGTCTGGCTTGCTCGACGGCCGTAAGAAGCGACCGTGTCGTCCGCACCATTGACCTTATTAAGGTCAATGCTGATCGGTTATTATCCGCACCACATTAACCGATCCGAAATGAATATTTATTCCCATCAATCACAATAACAAAATGATCATCAAAACCACCATTGGTGATATTCAATACATCATCTAGCAGGCTATGGACAGCATAAACTGAGGAGTTCTCGCCCAATAGTTCGGCATACGCGGGTAATGCTCAGCCGTGGTTCAAGTTTACGCAGTTCGGCGCTCAGTCTAGTGAGCAATTAAGGCTAAAATATTGCCCAAAGCGCGCACAAAGGGAGTTGAAAGACCAGCAAACATTAATACTTAACCTAGAGTATTCAAGAAAATAAATTACAGATTAGGTGTACACGAGCAATAACTTCGAAACTTCCTACATAGTTTTCATCATTAATCTTATACTAGAACAGATAAATAATTCATTTTCGTTCACAAATGTTCCACAAATGTAGCCATCAATAAATTCTAGGATTACAATTGGGCTATCATGCAAGATAAAATATTCCTGTGGTCTTCCGAGATATTATTGAACAACGTGGAATAAGTCACGAAACCAGAGAAGTTCATACCGAGCTCAATAAATAATAACAATAATCTCAGCACAAATGGAGCAGAAGAGGTAATCTGAGCTCAATAGTAATAACAATAACCTCTGCACAAAATGCTAAGGTAAGCTGAAATTCTTCGTTAGACGGAACTTAGGTGGCGCAGTGAAGGGAAGCGAGAGTTCACAAGACTGTGAATGAGTTACGCCTCTGGCGCTACGACTAGAGGATGTGGGGGTAGTGCTCGTTAAGCAGAAATGTGGGGGTAGTGCTCGTTAAGCAGAGATGTGGGGGTAGTGCTCGTTAAGCAGAGATGTGGGGGTAGTGCTCGTTAAGCAGAGATGTGGGGGTAGTGCTCGTTAAGCAGAGATGTGGGGGCAGTGCTCGTTAAGCAGAGATGTGGGGGTAGTGCTCGTTGAGGTAGTCCGCGATGTCGTCAGAATTCATCTGCAGCCAGTAGACGGTCTGGCGGATGTTCTCCAGCGACGCCTGTAGCGCCCGTTCGCCACCACCCACGGCCACGTCGGCGAAGAAGTCCTCCACCTGCTCGGTTGATTATTATCATCTTGAGGGCCAATCACGGAAATCAAATAAAATAAACATTACCATTTATCAAGGATTTTAGCTCAGAAACAGCATTGAGGTCGTTCTAAGCCATCTTTCGTGGAGAGTTCCAGCAGGAAGGCCGGTAAAATGGAGAATTCACCTAATTATTAATATTTGTGTAATGTTCATGAACTTAAGACTTGGTAGTTGAAAATCTTGGGCTTTTTAGTATGTGTTTCGAACGTAGCAGTCCCAGGCCTCACTGGAGCGTCGTGTGGTGCACGGTCACGGCCTTGATGACGGCGCTGATGGTGTATGTGTGTGTGTGTAATTGCCCTTTTTTATTTTTGCCATCCTGGTAATGGCGACTAGGGAGGGGTGGTGATAGGTCAGTTTTTCCGGGCACTCGGTGATACTGGTAGTTCCACGACCATCAGTGGCTCGCTGACCCACCAGAACCATTTGATTGCATTACACAACACCCTGGACAAGCCAGGTACCTACTCATTTATCAACCAGAGTTGGATGAATGGCTGAGTTGACCATGAGCTGAGCTTCCCGGAAGAACTTGTCCTCAGTGGGACTCGAACCCGGGAGCTGGGTGCGAGAGACAGAGTCTCTCACCACTGCACCACCACAGCAGATGGTGTAGGACGAGTGGCCGTGCATGCCGTGATTATCTCACCTCGTGCAGGTCAAAGAGCGTCGTGTGGTGCACGGTCACGGCCTTGATGATGGCGCTGATGGTGTAGGACGAGTGGCCGTGCCTGCGCATGATGTCCGCCCAGTTCTGGCGGACGCTGCGCCAGGCTGCCAAGCGGCCGTTGGGGTTGCGGCTCACTTCGTCGATGACGAAGTGCACGTCCTGACTCCTGATCATCGTCTCGTCGAGGGTGTACTGCAGGAACCTGTGCAGGCACCCCCAGTGAAGCTCTTACTCGTTACAAGCAACGTAGCTCAAAGTGTGGACAACGAAAATTCAATAAAAGGATGAGACGTAATTTTGTGAAGATAAAAAATCGTGTAAAATAAAAATTCTAGAAAACTAAATATAGAACGAACTCGACTGTTTACCCACATTTCAGGTTAAGCTTTAAATAGAAATACTTGTTTATTTAAACGACTGTTTAGGAGGTACATGTTAAAAGTGCGGTCATTTGACAAAATAATACCGAAGTACCCCCAGTCCTTCACTTCACTACTTCAATACAACTGAGGAATAATACAACATTTTAGACATTTTAACACGTGTACGGTATACATTTTAGAATCAAAACACATCCAAATATTGTCTCGAAAACATAATTTTGTAATTAAATGCCTTTTAAAGCTTTTCAAATAAATCCTTCGTTGGATTTATTCGGCCGTATACGCCCAAAGAGTCGAGGCTCCTAATGTTCATAGAATACCATGAAGCGCCTTGATATGTCTGAAGGGGTTTACTTGTCCAGATTTGTGACCGAATTTATTATTGTCACTCATATTACTATCATCAATAATTGGCACCATAACACAATATTACTGATATCATGAGAACTGACTGCTCGAGGAGCCAGGCGCTGGAAGTCTGTGCGAGGGCCTCCAGCAGGAGGCGGCGCTCACTGGCCAGGGTGCTGTTGCGATAGCGCGCCCAACACCACCACCACGCCTCATCCCCACCGTGCCTGCGGGCACCACGCACGGGTTACGGGGTCGTAGCGCAAACATTCATGGGCATCATGGTTACGCACCGCCAAACACGCGCACTGTAATGGCTATGCATCGAATGAACTCGTTCACCATAATGATTACCAATCAATAATTCATGCACTATAATGGTTGTCGAGCCGTAATTCATTCACTATAATGGTTGTGGAGCAGTAATAGATAAGTTGCGTAAGTAGAACGCACCTGACGCCGGCCTGGTAGATGACGGAGCGCAGGTTGGGAGGAACTGCGACGTCTTGCATGCGCCACAGCTGGAAGCGCTGCCGGGCCTCAGCAATGGCCTCAGGCATGGCACAGTCCAGGGCCGCCTGCAGCATCTCAGACCGCAGCAACCTGAGGGGAAACTTGCAGGATTATTGAGGAGAAAAGTGAGACGAGGGCACAATGGAAACAAGGGTAGTGCAAGGACATCAACTATGGACATTAGTTGAAAAGAAATAAAGAGTTGACACAAGTCCGGATGCCATAAACTGGTATAACCAGGTTTGGATTCCGAAACAAGTGTAGAAAAAAAATGTAGTCGTGTGGATTTCAAAAACAAATGATGCAATCACGCAAGTTTGGACTCATGGATAATGAAATACTAAAATGCTAAGCAATCTCCATGTATTGTCCAAATTTCCGAGGGAAGGTTCATAAAAATGGAATAAGTTAATGTGGTGGAAATGGAATGTAGGAGTGACTGACTTCTTGAGGTGTGTGCCGCTGTCATCCCAGCCAATAGCCTCGTACTGGTTGCTGATGATGGAGCAGATATGAGCCAGCAGGTGCTTGTGGTAGGAGTTAGTGAAGAGCATGCGCGCCCAGTCGAAGAGGTGCGTGAGCGCAGTGTGCCACGGCCCGTACTGCTCCTCCCCCACCAGGTACTCGCTCAGCTCGAACGCCATGCTCACGTTCACCTCGCTCGCGCTGATGAAACGCACGATTATTTTTGCTGAAAGAAGGATGTATTATTTTTGCTGAGAGAACGCAGGATTATTTTTGCTGAGAGAAGGCAGGATTATTTTTGCTGAGAGAAGGCAGTATTATTTTTGCTGAGAGAAGGCAGTATTATTTTTGCTGAAAGAAGGATGTATTATTTTTGCTGAGAGTAGGATGTATTATTTTTGCTGAGAGAAGGCAGTATTATTTTTGCTGAGAGAAGGCAGGATTATTTTTGCTGAGAGAAGGCAGTATTATTTTTGCTGAGAGAAGGCAGCATTATTTTTGCTGAGAGAAGGCAGAATTATTTTTGCTGAGAGAAGGAAGTATTATTTTTTTTCTGTAAGAAGTCATTACTATTTTCCTGAGGTAAATCGTTATTATCTATCTAAAGAAAGGCATTAGTTTTTTTTTTCTTAAGAAAGGCATTATAATTGTTCTGAGAGGAGGGACATTTTTAGTCTGAGAGAAGACATTTTTTTTACTAGAGAAGGCATTATTATTATTTTTTTCAACGGTAAAGCTGCCGGACTGTTTCCATAATCTCCGTATTCAGTCCCTCTTGCAAAGGTGCCCTGATGTAACAGTTTTGAAGAAGGGAATTCAGATATACCAGATCAGCAGAATACTAGACTATTTATGGTAGTATGTGAGCAATAGAGTTCAGGCTACCATCGCTGATTGGGTCTCATTGATGATAATCATCGAGATCACTGAAAACCGATTGGCTAGGGAGGAATCGACGTGTGTGAGGCACGCACCTGGCCAGGGAGAAGACGTCATCAATAAGGGACGCGCGGTCTGCGGAGGACAGGCGGCGATGGTCGTTCTTGAGCTGCAGGATGAGAGCGCGCCACGTCGCGGGGTCGTAGTTAACGCGGTAGAAGCCTCGCTGCCCCACGTTGAACTTCACCCACGCCAGGTCATTCGAGACTTCAAACTCAACTGCAGAATCAACTTAGTTTAGATTATTACTAAAAAAATTGTCAACTTAAAATAAAGAAGAAAAACAATTAAAGTAACTTAGAGCAAGAATTGTAATTCCTTTCAAGCCCGCGACTATTAGAACAAGAACTTTTTCTAGCTTCACTGGAAAAAAATTTTAACACTTGAAACTTCATCTGGAAAAGGAAAATAGTCAAATTAACTTGGAACATGTTTTACAAAATTCAAAGAAAAAGGAATGCAATTAAGCAGATTTTAAATGAAAACTATTTATATTTGCTAGAAACGATGCAGTTACCCACTCGTATATTTTCAAAAATGGATAAGTTGTAATACATAATTTAAATCTTTTTTAATACAATATCGATAAGTGGGCTTCTGAAAGAAACTAAATAAGAAAACTGATACAGAAATAACCATCAGTGTTACTAAACATATTCATAGTCAACACAGAAAAAGAGGTAAGCTAAGTTAGAATCTTCATTACCAATTACCATCCCAAGCAGTAAGCAGTCAGTTCAAAGAGCTCAAATTTTAGCCAGCACAATTGACCATTCATCCATGCAACAGTCGAGATCTTACCGTTAGTGAGATTCATCATCACAGACAGAATAGGTAGGTACTCACCGTTAGTGAGATTCATCCAAACAAACGGCATAATCACCATTAGTGAGATTTATCATCACAAACGACATGCTCACCGTCGGTGAGATTCATCCGCTCAGACAGCATACTCACCATTAGTGAGATTCATCCAGACGAGGGTAGAGTTGTCGGGGTCCTCGCTTGTGACGTAGGTGAGAGGTACATGCCACTTGAAGCCGATGGTCGAGTTGATGGGTGAGATGGGATCTGCAGTGAGATCCGTCTGATGTGCCGCCTCATCCTCCTTCTGTTTCACTCCAGTGAGGTAATGGTCACTGACGCTGTCATCAAAGGCGTCGTCGGTGGAGTTTGTGTCGCTGTCTTGCAGGAGGTTTTCGGTCACCAAGAAACGTTTCTGCGACGCGAACACGCGCCCGTCCTCCACGACCACGGTGACCACGGGGTAGCCTACCTGGCGCGTCCACGTGTCCATCACCACCTGTGCAGCAACAACGCCATTACTTATCTGCAATGTGAGGTTATCTTTACGTCAGAACTGATGACATGCGTTGTGCATCCCAACTGGCAACTAAAGTTGAGAGACGCAATTATGATTTTCACTAAAGCCAAAATATAGGCTTCATAGTGAAAGTATCTAATGTATTAAATAAAGTTCAGCGACCATAGCCAAATTAAAATTTAGATGATCATTGAAAAGCTTACAAGTTACGGCTACTGGCATAATGACTTATCATTTTCTCTATTGCGTGACATTTTCCATTCATAGAACGTTTACCCAATACCTCTTCCCATACATTAAGACTGCAAACATCAACTAATAATCAACATCGATGGCTGCAGCACAGCATGCTTCACTATATATTCATATAATAGCAAACTTTTATACAAAGCATCAATACCGTAATGCAGCGTCCAAGAAACACGCAACACATTCATACTTTGCTAATCTTTACAATAAAAATCTGAAATTAATCAATGATGCAAAACTTTACTCATTTTAATCGATTTGAAATTTATGAAAAAATTTGTAGGTTAATTGTTGCACGAGTGAATCTCAGCAGCAAGATCCTTTTCCGTGGCAACCTTAAAAACCTTAGCAGGGAAACGTGGTGTAATTTCCAGCGCTCTTTTAAATTAGTGACGGGACACGAGACGGGAAAAGTCTCAGTTGCTGGGACACACAACCTGGACGTCAGGAAGCCTTTCTTCTAATTAGTGACCCGCACGCAAGACGTCTCAATGGCTGGGACACAACCTGGACGTCAGGAAGCCCTTCTTCTAATTAGTGACCCGCACGCCAGACATCTCAATGGCTGGGACACACAACCTGGACGTCAGGAAGCCCTTCTTCTAATTAGTGACCCGCACGCCAGACATCTCAATGGCTGGGACACGCAACCTGGACGTCAGGAAGCAATTCTTCTAATTAGTGACCCGCACGCCAGACATCTCAATGGCTGGGACACGCAACCTGGACGTCAGGAAGCCCCGGCTTCTGGGACACGGCCGCCATGGAGCGCCAGAAGTCGGCTGTGTTGGCGCTGGAGAATCTGTGCTCGTCGAGGTAGGCGCGCAGCCCCGACACGCTCGTCGACCGCCCCAGGAACATCTCCAGCATGTAGATCAGCGACGCCCCCTGCCACGAGGAACCTTACATTGAGCCTTTGTTGATGCGTTAATGTCAGTTATTTATTGGCACACTTACTGCAATTAGAAGATATACAACATGAAGATCAGTGACGCTTTCCTGCCATGAAGAACTACTAAGTCGATGCAAGATACTCATCATGTGAGTGGTTATTGTCGTCTCAGGAATGAGCTCTTGGTACAATCGAGAGAGCGAACTTTGAAATTCTGCGTAATTTTAAAGTCAATTGGTCAATATTAGAGTTATAAGTTAGGAAAAGTCAAGAAGTGATCCAAAATCGCAGACGTTAAAATTAATGAAAGCTGAAAAACCCAGCTAAAGTGACAATCGTGAGCAGCGGTTGATAAAACACAGTCTAAAATTTCAGTCATGTCAAACTAAGAAACGTCCTTCAAAATTTTCTATATGACAAATAGGTCTTTAACACATAGGTATATTGGCGCACACTATTTTTACCACCAAACAACTCATTTTAAACCTGCTAGATACATTAAAACTCTTTTGGGATACAGAATACTGCATTAAACCCGCATTTCATTTAAATAGCATCTCATACCTAACTAAAGATCAGGCAAAATGGCATCCTGACGTACCATTTCGCATCTCTTTCAGTACTACTCGGCATCCAAGGTCTTCAAATACAGTATATAAACATACAGTACCGGTTTACAAACAAATATACTGTCCTACTAATTTAGAGGTGATCGCAGCGCACTCTTGTTGAACGACAGAAAACTGTTGTTCCCAAATTTACTTGCTTCTAATTATTTACAAGTAGGATTGTATCACCCTCTTGTATTGTATTGTAAATGTATCACCCCCTGGATCAATTCTTTCTACGAGGTAGCACGCATTAGGTAGTTGCGCCAAGTACATTGCGTTAAGACCTTCGAGCTGCGCGACTGCGATCGTGATCGGCGGTAGCGGCAGCAGAAGTAGTCAGGCGATTGCTCGCTGTCTACCTAGATGGTCTAGTTCAGAGCTGTTTGTACCTGAACACTCAGGTTGTTAGTACCTGTCAGTCTGCCAGTAGCTACGGTGACGTCGATGCCAACCAATGTTACTGTGTGCAATATTTCCTGCAGTAAGAAGTGTATTGCCGTGCATATCATTTATAACTGCTGAATGTCATTTTATTTGAAGATGATTACTAACCTATTTAACCTGGTGAAAATTACCATTTTAACAAAAGTGAGATATCAAATAAACTATTTAAAGCATTATCTATTCTGATTTTAATCCATCGTCATTGAAAAGGCAAAAGACACATGAGCCATTGAAAAGGCTTGTCTCAGATTTTGAATAGCGAGTATCGACGTCGCAAAAGCTAGATTGAAGTGGCACAGCCGCCTCGAAGTTTCGTATTCGTCCGGATGCTTGAGCTCTAAATGCTCGATCGTATCCTGACGTAGAGCTGTGATGGGTAAATTATAAGAGTTTGCACTTTATTCAACATAGAATTAGTATAAAGCTCAGGAGCGGTATAGCTCTTAACCCATCATCGCAGCTTTGCTCCGATAGGAGGTGACAGCGTTTTATCTTATGAGGTTTGGCAACTCACCTCATTCAGATGGCATGCAGAAGGCAACTAACTCAAAATCCAAGATGGTATCTAACCTTCTTATAAGAAATAGCATCAAAGATAGCCTCGATGTTTGCGGGATCCTCGACAGGAGTGGACACAGGGTGGGACGAGAGGAGACCGTCAAGGGCTAGGGCAGGTTGGACGGTCTCGACGACGAACTGGTCGAGCATAGACCAATGAGGCTCTACCTCACTCGTGCCCAGAACTTCCATGAAGCTTGCAAAACCTTCATTCAGCCACAAGTCCTGCCACCTGAAACGAATTGCACCTTTAATTGGGAGCACAAAACTGTCATTCAGTCAAAAGTTTGAAGTTGATTCAGCAAAACCAAAATTACGGGTCAGATTGTGCTCTTTAATGCTTTTTATTCCACTATTCAAGATATATTAAAAGGTAAAATTCATCGAGAGATGAAATTAATGTGTATCATCTTCCTACCGTAAGTCAATATTGACCGTAAGTTCAGAAGAGATCAACCATTTAGCCAGCCCACGGAGCGATAAGCACCATGGATGAGCACTACTCATCTCCATGGTGACCAGGTTTAAGAACCACTGGTGCACTCACCACTCCATGGTGACCAGGTTGCCAAACCACTGGTGCACTCACCACTCCATGGTGACCAGGTTGCCAAACCACTGGTGCGCGAGCTCGTGTGCGAGGACGACTGCAATGCGCTGCTGTGCGCGGGCAGAAGACACGCCCTCGACGAACATGAGCGCCGTCTCCTTGTACGTCACCAGCCCCCAGTTCTCCATGGCCCCAGCGCCGAAGTCCGGGATGGCGATGAGGTCTGGTGGGCGGTGGCAATCATGTACATGAGTGGCAAGATAGAGGAACATGTTCGTTATAAATGCAAACCAAAAGGTAATTGTCACTAATAGAAAAATATAGAAATAATCGCTGTAAGCTTAATCTTATTCGCCACGGCTGCGGTGTGTGATGCGATCTTCTAGTGAGCAGAAGAGCAATGGCCTTGTAGACATGGATTGCAAACTGCTTTTACGTTCGTCACGTAAGATAACGAGTGAACGATCTGTCAGAGTTGTAGCAGGATATGGACCGCAAGGCATGGCGCAGGACTCCTGGAAACTCACCCAGTTTAGGCGTTAGCATCTTGACGATCGTGATAAATCACGACAATCGTGATTTATCAATGAATGAAAATAATTCCGTCTCTACTTGTTGTACGGTACAGTGAAGAACTCATGGTAGTGTTGCAATACACTCACCCAGTTTAGGCAGGGGGTACGGCACGGTGAAGAACTCATGGTAGTGTTGCAATATGCTCACCAAGTTTAGGCAGGGGGTACGGCACGGTGAAGAACTCATGGTAGTGTTGCAATATGCTCACCCAGTTTAGGCAGGGGGTACGGTACGGTGAAGAACTCATGGTAGTGTTGCAATACACTCACCCAGTTTAGGCAGGGGGTACGGTACGGTGAAGAACTCATGGTAGTACTCCAGCAAGGTAATGGATGCGTGCAGCGCGTAGTCTGCCTGATGGATGATGTTGGCAGGAGCATAGACGCTCACAGTCACGTTGTTGTTCGTTTTGTTGCTCACTTTAGCAAAATCGCAGACCACAAAGCAGACCAGGTAAGTGCTCATCTCCACGCTCACGTCGAATTCGTCACGCATCTGAGTAAAGTAAATCATGTCTTAATTTATTCATCTTAAACCATTCCACTATTCACTTCTACATTTGGTTAGACTACGAAGCGTCAGTCGCGCTACGTGTCATTTATAAGATCCGTCGGTCGCTCTACGTCAGTCATTAATAACAGTTGTTGTCCACCACATTTTCACAGGAAACGTTTCGGAGACCAGCTCCATAATGAATTGTTTCCAATGAATATAGGATGAATTTATAAATTCTTTGTTACTAAATTTAATGTATCAATTTGAAGATTTCTTCGATCAAAATATAAACAAAATAACACAATTTTTCGCCCATCCTTGAATTTAGGTAAATACTATATATCTAAATAATCTTAGTGAACAGTTTAACTATGAACTTTTGAATTAATGTAATTTCAATGTTAAGTGATTTAACGAGAAATACAAGCATAAATATTCTTGCATGAAGACGTCATAAGAATGTTTGCCAAGACCAATAAATCGATCCCTGCCAGGGCGTGAGTAGGAAGGGAACGCACGAGAGAGGAGCCCTGTACAGGAGAGGAGGCCCTCAGGGGCATGTTGAAGAGGGCGAAGTAGCTGCGCTCCCGCACGATGCTCAGCTCAAAGCGCGCCTTGAGGTGAGGCTCGTCGAAACAAGGGAATGCAGCGCGCGCTGACGTGGGCTCGAAGTGCGTCGCCGCCAGATACCTGCACAAACTTTCATCAATGAATGGGAATAATCCTGTCTTCGACTTAAATCTTATTGAAGAGATCTCATTAAAATTTTATTTTCGCAAGTAATAGTTTAAAAAAGAGGCACATTTGAAATTTCAAAACCAGCGCAATAACAGATTCATGTGCACCTTGATAAATATTTCACGGCACAGCCACAAGATCTAACAACTGCAAGATCTCTCGTGAGCTGGCAATGCGGAGCGAGCTTAGGTGCTACCTTACAGTAGGACTGGCAGGACATGACTGACTAACCGACTCACAGCCGTTATATCTGACCTGTCATGACGTCACTAAATGCAGTAAGGTTAAAAATAAATCTTACTCAGGTCCTATATACTTTCAAAAAAAGTCAAGAGATCGTAAGTTCATCTGCCAATCATTGACGGCCTTTCAAGCAAAATCCACCAATCATAGACAAGAAAATAGAGCGTAAGTACTTACGTTCACTTAGCGAATTTTGAAAGTCAGGCGATTACGCCAGACGTGGCTGTAAAATTACACTTACGGTATCCACGTTAACAAATGCACATGAAATTAAAAATACAATGCTGGTATTAAATGACGTACCAGTGAAGGATCATGATGGTTCACGAAATGAATTTAAATTCAATATGTAATCTACACAATCAGACGTCTATTAGCAGAAATGCTATTATTGTAGTGGCACTCGTTGGTGACCGAAATGATGACCTTTTCTGAGCATCGATGGTGTATGATGAGAGGTACACGCCGTCCAGCCCTTCATTGAGCGCGATGTTGTACTCTAAGAAGAGCGTGTAGTTGCTGCCCCTGCGCAGCGTGTTCCGAACACCAAGGTAAAGCTGCGCGAATAAACGTTTAACTTGTTAAATCAAATGTTGTCGCAATTCAACATCGGTTCTTCACATTAACTTACGTATACCATGTAGTCAGTGGGGATTAAAGATTTTGTGCCAGCGATTGAAAATAATTAATATAAATAATAAATGTCCCAATTATAATAAAAGAAGCTTTACCCATCATAGTCCTGCTACACGCTCGTTTTCCTCAGCCTCACTGAGTATCAGCATCGTAGCGGTAAACTCCTACCCAATTAAAAGCAATCCCTGATAGAGACACTGTTTGAAAGTTTGTTAGGTTTTGAAAGGGTGCATAATTTTATGAAAAAATGCTTAATTACTTTGCTTCGGTGCATTTTACGCCTTCAACATTTAAATGTTTTAAATTACAGGGTTTGGACAAAATAGGGGAAATATCTAAGAAATGCAGAGAATATATTTAAGTAGGCTGTAGGTCCACCTTTTGCGGTAACTGCAGCATCGATTCTCCGAGGTATTGATTCATACAAATTGTGAACTGTTTACAAACGAATTTCACCCATTCTTCAGTTGAATCTCCCTTCAGCTCTTTTAAAGACGATGGCGGCGGGCATCAACTTCCGACTTGCATCTTTAAAATTAACCATAAATTCTCTATAATATTCAAGTCTGGCGATTGTCGCGGCCAAATATGATGCTCAACCTCATCGGTCTTTCCCTAATTTTGTCTAACCCCGTCCCTGTAGATTGGCGCTGTTGCAGGTTTGAAATAAGAGGAAATTTAACGGCAAAATAAAGCAAATCAAATACACTGTCAGAAAAATTACCGTTAACGGTATTACCGGCGTTTCAGTGGCCGGTCGGCACGTGAAAAGAAACACCGTGTCGCCGTTTTTATTCTAATTTAACACGAGAAATCCGTATAACACCTGAAAAAAAAAACGGCGAAACAGTTTATTTTCACGGGGCGACCGCCACTAGAACGCCAGTGGGGCCGTTTTTTCACCGTTTTTTCTAACAGTGTACTTTACAGGGTTGGCGATTTTTTTGATTTTTTTAAAAAAATCAAAAAAATCAAAAATCAATGATTTTTTTATTTTTTCATGATTTTTTTGATTTATTTGATTTTTTCAGCTTTTTTGTCTTTTTTGAGGTGCTATTTTTTTATGTTGCCATTAGCATACTAACAATAACAGTATATGGATCATAATGGATGGCTAAAAGGGCACTTATTGCCTCCAATAATGGCCAACAGGCCAAGGTGGTGTTTACCACTTAGGGATTTTTGGGTAAACAATTATTGGTAAATCTATTCATTAGCTTTGTAAAGTTTGTATGGAGCAAGATAATGAGCTAAATATTGACCATTTAACTGGCTTCAATATACAAAAACACTTCAGGAATGCAGATCTTCTAAACATTGATGAGTCACATAACAGATAGGTAGCTGATTGCACAGTGCACAGCACTATCAATAGATCTACTAGTTTTATGTCTTATAAATCTACCAGACTCTACCTTCTATACACACCAACTAGTAGTGACTGAGTGACTGACTGCACTGTTCCCATTTAATTCAGACCAATAAACCAATACTAAACATAAACTGAACGATAACCAAACAAACCTCATACGACTTGAAACGAGACTTAAGTTATGAGAAAAGCTAACACTGTTTGAAATAAACATGTGCACAATTCAAATATTTTATATCCATTCACTGCATTTAATTATTTTATATATAGTCTTATAATTGTAATAGTTTTGTTTCTAGTTTTAAATTCGCATATTTAAATATTGAAATTAAATATTTTAATTAGAATACTTGTATTAGGGTGGAAAAACTTTCTAATTGCCTAAAAGGTCAATACAATCTCAACCTCCCAATATACAGGGTGGGGGAGAACCGATTGAGCAGTTTTGAGGTAAAATAAAAGAGTAATGGAGGTACATAAAGAAGAAAGTTTATTTTCCTAGAGGCTAGCATAACATACCATTTAGAATACTTATGTTTTGAAAACAATATCTGGAAGATGGGGGCTGTTAGCTGCAACACACTGTTGGAGTCATTCTCAGAGGAGGGAGTAACCATGACAGTGAATTCCAATTGCTATGCTGCAATGTTGCAAAATTTCTTGCAGCCCATGATGGAAAACATTGTTGAAATGAAGCATTGGGAGACATGTGGTTCCAGCAGGATGGGGCTACAGCTCACACAGCTCGAACGTCTTAAATGTTTTGAAACGCATGTTTCCCGGACGTCTGGTGTCTCTGAGGGGTGATTTACAGTGGCCTGCAAGGTCACCTGATTTGAGCATTTGCGATTTCTTTCTTTGGGGACATCTAAAAGAAAGGGGTTCAGAAGTCGCCCTCACACCCTACCACAGCTAAGGGGAGATTATTGCAGCAGAGGTTATGGCCATACCTCGCCATATGTGAACATGCTGTAGGAAACTTCCGAGAACAACTCCAACAGTGTGATGCAGCTAACAAACCCCATCTTCCTGATATTGTTTTCAAACCATAAGTATTTTAAATGGTATGTTATGCTAATCTTGAGAAAAATAAACTTTCTTCTTTATGTACCTCCGTTACTCTTTTATTTTGCCTCAAAACTGTTCAATCAGTTCTGTCCCATCCTGTATAAGCTAGCTAATACATTTAAATTGTATATTGTAATCAATATATAACAAAAAGTCAAATAGTTAAAGACTACTTACAGCCTTATAAGAATTAGCTAAGCTGCTAGCTACATACAATGTATTGCACTCTTGATGCCTCTGTAGCAAAAACATTCAATTTATTGGAACCTAATACACACTAAAGGCAACAAGTTTGTATACCAATTTGTCATTCATAGTACATTTATACTAAACCATGAATAACAATACCTCAATATAAATTAAAGACTGCCACTCAATATTTTTAAATATATGAAAAAATCAAAAAAATCAAAAAAAATGAAAAAATCGAATAAATCATGATTTTTTTATAAAAAAATCAAGTGATTTAATCACATGATTTAATCATTTTGATTTAATCATTGCCAACCCTGGTACTTTAGGAAGTATATTGGTATCAACTGGCCGCACCTGCTCGTTTTTTGGATATTCGAGGAATTTAGTGATAGTATTGCGCTGTAGGTACTTGTCGTGCAGAGAATAGTTAGTGATGTTGATGTTGCGGCTGTGCACGATTATGAAGTTGGTCTCCTCACGGGTCGTGAATTTGATAGTAACTTGTCCTGAAAACAAAACATCAACACATAATTTAAAAATATAATTATTATGATTTTATTATTGGTTTTCACATTTCCGGAAGATCCAGCACAGGCACATCTTTGATGCTTGTAAATACATTGTTAAACAACTGTAATTAGTGATAGCTATTAAACATTTAAAAAATATGATTAAAATAGGTATGGGACGCAAAACATAACTTATATGGGACACAAAATTTAAGCTGGCATATATAAATTAGAATATGTACACTGGTTCCAATAATTCCTTAAGTCCATACCGTTCAATACTCACGGTGCAAAGTACCAAAGTGGAAAGATTTGAAGTTAGGTAACGAAAAATTACACCAGGTTAGATACAGAGTTGGATGAACCCAATTTAATAAATTCGTATTTATTTAATTGTAAATTTAAAATGAATAATTTATTCACCAATGTAAAGGGAAAGATCCAAATTTAGTTTTAACCCATTCAAACATTGAAATTTCAAACTAATTTTTTAAACCTATTAAATCATTTTGAATCAGCACTCCCCTGAGCGTTGGGTAGGATGCATAGGAAATGAAGATCTGGCTCTCCACTTCTGGCCACCGAGGTCACCTGATCTTATGTGACTATTGCTTCTGGGGTTACGTCAAGGAAGCTGTTTACGTCCCGCCTCTACCAGCAACTCTGTTTACGTCCCGCCTCTACCAGCAACTCTGTTTACGTCCCGCCTCTACCTTCTCCCTCTACCAGCAACTCTGTTTACGTCCCGCCTCTACCAGCAACTCTGTTTACATCCCGCCTCTACCAGCAACTCTGTTTACGTCCCGCCTCTACCAGCAACTCTGTTTACATCCCGCCTCTACCAGCAACTCTGTTGATCTGAAGAACCGTATCACTGCTACGGTGCACTCAGTAACAGAAGATATGCTTTCTCGTGTGAGGGACGAGTTTGGCTGCCGTTTAGATGTTTGCCGAGCAGCACAAGGGGACATATTGAACATTTATAATTATGTATAAAAACTTCAAATCTTTCTCTATACATTGGTTTATAGATCATTAATGTTGAATTTATACTTGAATATATACGAATTTGTTAAATTGGGTTCATCATTTGGAATAACCCTGTATTACATACAGATGTGCACTGTGCTGGCCATCATGAGAACAGTTAAAGATGATCAATATTTATCACAACAGCCGTATTAACAAAATTTAATCAAAAGTTCAAGTAATGCAGAGGAAATAGGATTAGAAAATGAATTGAGCAGCATGAAAAATGTTAAGCAGAAGAGAACCTGCAAGAGTCACAAACATGCTGTGGTATTCAAGCCTTTTTTAATTTTTCACTAGATTTGCTGGTATTAAATAGCACCACAATTGCTACTTGTTTATTAATATTTTTAGCCATAGTTAAATTAATGTCTCTGAATGAGAAACGTATCTTATTAAATTACATAAATAGTCAGTTATAATGAAAAAAATTGGAAATATTCAACTTGGAATTGATTGCACCAGTATATTGATAAGCCAGTAGAGAGTCTAAGGGTAAGATGAAGTGAGTAGTGCAGTGGTTGGAAGCTCACTGGGTCTTACCATCCATGTGTCGAGTAGTGAGGTTAGGGTGAAGGTGAAGCGAGTAGTGCAGTGGTCGGATGTGGACTGGCAGGCGTATATTGGACCATGGAAAAACTTCACCGGAAGTTGACAGGATTGGGGACTTCTTCTTAGTCACAAAGGCATTCTCATCATCTAGAGGCTCGCCAATGTAAGTGGCAACAGGGCAACCTGTGGCAGTAGGAAATTTGTTGTAAAAATAGCTTGGGCAACATTTGAGAATTGAATACTAATTGTGAAACAATTTAATAATGGATTATAATCATTTCAGAAGACAGCAAAAATAATAATGCATAATTATTTTGAACCTAGAATACATATATAGGTACACTTATAATGAACAATGATTACTATAAACCTTGAATACATATATACCGGTACACTTAATAATACATGACAAATGTTGAGACCTTTTACCTGATGATATCCAGAAGAGTCTGTAGTTACTCTTGGCTACTTCAGCAAAACAAATTCATGAGTGTCTGGGGAAAAATATAAATGAAAAAATATAAATAATTCAGGTTCAAGTTTTCAAAACCAATCAAAATATGGGACATAAATAAATAACATAAATATGGGACATAAGCTATAGGGTAACATAAGTTTTTGGATAATGAAACAAAGACACCAGGATGAAATAAGCAGAGAGATTAAGTAGCTAGTTACTAAGATGCAAGAACAAATAAATACCTGAATAAATGAGGACAACAATTTATTGAAAAGTTTAAAGGAAAACCAAATCAAAATCAAAAGTTATTTCTGAAAATAAAATAACTTGATAACAATGAACTTACATATACCGCTAAACTCACCAGGTTTTGTGAAGGCAACAATAGCTGCAGATAGCAGGATGGAAAGGAAACAGAGAGCAACCACAAGACAAGCGCGCTTCTGGGAGCACACTAGGACAGACCCTGGCTCATACAGGGCTCGTTTGCTCATCAGAAAGCCACTGTCTTGTCCCGAGCCTGAAAAAAACATGTAAAATAAATAATTCATTTCAATTTATATCAGTGTAAATTTGATGGGTCATTGGTCAGTATATATATTCTTACATAAAAAATCACATATTTGTGGGTAATAAGTATTCAAATGAAAATTAAATGAATAATGGCTTGCTACCATTTTACTTTTGAAATTTCGAATAGTTGAATAGGTAAATATTATTTTCATTTGTTTTGATAGTAATATAATTAGTAAAGATATGTATATAATGTCATATTAAATGTCTAAAATTGGTTTCAGAGAAGCATGAAAAAATGCAGTACAGGTTTTATGGAATGGTCAAGCAATTATCCTCTTACCAGTGAGGAAGGCTATGTCATCCACGTCATGGTCACTCATGGTTGGGTCTCGGGAGAAGCCCCCCCGAGGACCTCCACCAGAGCTGCTTCTTCTCATATTTAAGATCTGCACAAAGCTGAACCTACTAGCTCATAATACTCTGAATGTATACCAATACAACAAATTTATAAAAAATAGGTTATTTTTAGCAGGGCTTTAATGCAAAGACACACACAACTATCAGTTAAATCATGATGCTTCCATTGAAAATTGTTTTCTTTTGGATTCAAAACATGAAAAACTAGCACTGACATGGAACTCTTGATACCAATACAACCAATCAGATAAATATCTATCAAATCCTGACATTACCAGCTACATATATATGATGACTATTTACAGCAAATATTTAATTGACAGTAAGTGATCAATACCGTCAACCGGGGCTACTCGGGACAATTTCGAACGTTTTTCATTCATAACTTCTTACCATGAAACATTTCATAAACAAGTTTAAGGTCATTTTAAAGCTCTTTGCAAGGGCTATCACATGGCTTCTCCAAAAAAATTCCATATGCTACTCGTAAGGTGTCAGAAGCAAAAAAAGAGTGTCCCGAGTAGCCCCGTCGAACGGGGCTACTCGGGACACTTGAAATAAAACTTCATTTTAAAACATTTGAAGCATGCAGAGTGTATTCATCCATTACTTACAGTACTCTGAAGTCCTCTTCTTTCATTGTAGATGATGTAGAGGTAGAATAAATGCCATTTTCTGTGACTTTTACTTGTTTTTCCTTTATTGATAAGATATTACAATAGACATTAATTACCGTATTATTGATGCAATATTACCATATTACCATATCCATGAACATGCCATTGAGCATTTACAACAACCTTGTCCACTGCAAGCTTCATATCAGCAGCCATGTAGCATTTCTTCTGAATCTGTAAGCTTGCGGGATGGTTTGTAATTTCATGCCATTTAAATTGGGTTAAGTGAATTTACAATAAAAAAAGATTGTGAAAAACATACCTGTAACAGAAAGGAATGTTTTAGTGACAACCATCATGTGTTTTGGAGAAATAAATCATAGTTTTGGTCAATTACTTTTCATTCTATGATGCCCGGTGCACAATTCTATATATAGAATTCTATGTACAATTTTGTGACAACTGATGATGCACTAATTTTTCAACAAGTGAATTTTTTTTGCTGAGCTAGGTAAATGTAAACAAAATTCTTTGTTGTTAATCAATTTTTTCGTTAACTGGAACCCTTGCTAACTGATGTTCTACTGTAAATGCATTTTTAAGGGTGTCCCTAATTACCCCGGGAGGGGGGGGGTCNGGGTGTCACGAGTGCGGAAATGGCTGCCATTTTTTTTTTGAATGAGATAGGCAAATTCCATCAATTACGTTTTCAAGCCGACACCTGGGTGCAACTTTTATGTAAGTAAAAATTATTAATGTGGCGAATATTTTTTTTTGCTCCAGACCTTAGCAGAGGTACCTACTTTTCTAAAATCGCACTTTTCACACTTTTTTTCAACGATTTTTTAGAGATAGCAAATGTTTGATTTCTTGACTAGCTTTATACATAATAGATAGTAAAAATGTTGAAGTTTACGCCACTATTTTTAGTTTTGCAATGTTTTGATTAGTTTAGCTGCTACAACATTTCTACGAAATGTGGGATGCGTGTCCCAATTTACCCCACCCGTCCCTTTTTACCCCATTTGACGGTATCACCCAACCTTCATGCTTTGGATCACAAGCAAGCCAGTCATGATAAGCTTCTATTCTTAACCACAAGTCATGAAATTTACACTTTCCAGGCATGGTGATGTAGAAATTGCATGCAGAAGATGGAATGTTGCCACTGAATATCAAAAAGTGGTTGAATGCAACTGAGCTTGGCGGCTGAGCTCATGTCATTAGAGAACCAATCAGAACATATTTAACAAGAGACTGTGGCACAGTCTCTTGTTTCATGTGTGCCAATCAGAACACAAGAGACTGCACAAACAGTAAACACATGCAGCACAAAAAACACTTTGTTGTTTATCTTTTTTTATTTGCAAATTCAATGACTTTCCATAACCTGAAATGAAATCCAATGACTTTCCAGGCCTGGAAATGAAAAATCAAATTCAATGCCTTCAGGCTTTCCATGACTGGTACAACCCTGATGGGCGGCACTTTTTTATCATTCATATGTGGTTTCTGCCAAATTTTCCAGCTGATGCATAACTTATAATCAATTTGGATGACCAGTTTTGCTGCAGATGAGGAATGATAACTTTCCAGCAGTAAACAGAGCTTTTCCACATTTTTTGAAGCTGAAAGAATCCTGGCTCCTGCTAATTGCCTCTGCCAATTTCTGACTGCCTGCAAACCTGTTTCTAGTTGCCTGGAACATTTTTTAAGGCGGAACACTTTTTTTTAAGTGAACCACTTACCACTAACCTTAGAATTCCATCCTGACGCCCAAATCCCAATACATCTAATTTCTATTGCAAGGAGTTGATCAATTGATTTCTTGTAATCACGCCTTTAATTTCATCAAAAAAGATAGTTGGTTGTTTTTTCAAAAAACATGTTAAAAAATGTGCTATTAGCAATTAGCCTAATCCATTAATTTCTACTGGAGAAATTGAGCATGTGCTACACACAGCTACAGCCTACATACAGGAAAAGGTGAAATTGCCCACAATCACAGCTGTTTTGATCTCATTGATTTGACAGATGGTTTCTGCAGTTCTGCCCAATTTTCTTATGTTGAGTTCAGAAGTTATCTTGTTCTGCCCAATTTTCTTGTTTTCCATGAACCAGGCAATCTGGCACAGCACATCTTCCTGACCATTTGTTGCATAGAACACTGTGAACACATCAGGATAAGCTGGTCCCAGGGTGCTGTATTACCCTTCTGGATTCCAGCCTTCCATGAGGACAAGGTTAATGTCACTTCACATTTGAATGCTGAGCAGCTGAATCCTGAAGATGCTGCGTACAAAACACAGGAGCGCAGCCATGGGTAACAAAATTTACTCCTAAACAGGCCCTGGGCCTAACGTCAACCATCAGCATGCAATATCTAGGTACACATAGCCTCAGATCAATGAGCTGTGGGTAACTCCGGCTAACAGTAAATATGCTTAGCACAACACAGCCACTGCTTCACAGAGCCGGAGCACAACTGGCCAGAGCGCAACAGGCCCTACCACAATGGGCGGCACAGGTTAGGTTACGTTAGGAGTAGCTGTTGCGGTAGGGCCTGTTGCGCTCTGGCTAGTTGTGCTCCGGCCTGTATGCGCTCCGGCCTGTGACTGAATGGTGCTGTTGTGGTGGGCGCTTTGTGTCAAAAGCCGTGAAGATGTCTGGCAGCGTTACGCTCGGGAAAGTATATGAATCGCACTATGGACTTGGGCTATGCCCACTATGCAGAGAGTGGATGAATTTTGCAAGATCTTTGGCAACGCTCCAGTAGCAAAATTTCGTGCCGACAGAAGATCGTGCCGACACATTTAGATTGAAATTCTTGCATTTATTATATTTGTCTGTCTATGGTCAACTATTTGGAAAAAAGTAAGGTTTCCGGTAAGTTGGATAGATCAGGGTGCAGTGAAGCTTGTCTGGAAATCAGTTGCAATGAGTTTCCGCCCAAAAAATATAAACAAGTTTACGATTGTGTAGTTGCGGTCACATTAGAGCGGTCAGACTGCATTATCACATGTTCAGTTGACACTTGCTATACAATCGGACTGTTTTTAGGGTAAAATGAGTTATTTGGGGTAACATGTGCATGCAACCTCGTAAATACTAAATTAGGTTCGTGGCTTGTAAATAGTTTTGCATTACTCAGCGTAAATGGCTTTTCATTAAAAATTACCCAGCGACGCATCTTGAAAATGGTTGGTGATGCTTTGAGCTTAAAACTTCATATATTTGTGACGCTGCTTCCACCCTCTGCAGTCTGCACCCCGGGTCTATGCTGGCCTCTAGCCATCGGGATGCATGCAAGAGGCAGCAATGCCCAAGACCAGCATATCTTTCATCACCCTTTCCATGCGTAAGCCTCCTAAAGGGAGAGTAGACTAAGGGATTATATGGTAAAAGCCAAAGGTACAAATCCCCTTCATGGAAATTAACCAGTGAGCTAATGAGAAGTAAGCCACCAATACAATCGCTCTATGCCATATTTAAAACCGCACAAAAGCTCTATCCCATGCCCTCTAACCCATAGTGACAAAGCAGAGAGTTTTTTAGACTTTCCCTCAAGTTCATTTTTGAGCCTATTAGTAGACCAGTAAAATATCATGGATACCAGCATTATCATACTTAAGAAATTGATTAAAATCTTGAGCAAATGAGGAAATTAAAAATGAACTGATTCTAAAAAAGCTCTGGTTTGCCACTATGCTCTAACCTCCTCATGATTTTTGGTAAGCAACTCCCTATGCCATACCGCTGTCGCTGTGGCGCTGTTGATACACAGCCAGCACTCGGGCACTCCAGCCCATCCCGGCCATCCATTCATCGGTCATTGCAGCTGTTTTCCCAATTTCCCCCAGCATAACTCTACCTCCACTGGCTCCACACTTACCCTGTCTCCCCACCTTTTTTCACCAACTGCCGGATGGCTTTTCTTAGGTTGTGCTCACTTGACTGCATAACTGTCTGCATTACGCTATGAAAAGAGGATCTATACGAGTTGTAACCTAACCTATACCTAATTTGGATAAGCATCAAAGGTCTGCAAGAAAAGCCTCCAGTTAGCCATGTGATAATGATGGAGAGTCAGGGACTCAGGGTAAGTGTGGTCTGTGGGGGGAAGAAGATGCTGGGCCCAGCTGCTGAGCTGGGGGATACTGGATAGTAAGGCAGGGAAACAGTGACGACTGTCGACTAACACGGGGTTCTTTAGATGAGTGCCTTGCAATGCTGTATTGTATATATGGAAGCATGATAGAATTGTTAATGCATGGCAACTGCTGATATATGTTTTGATTTAGAAGGTAGATCATCTAGTTTTTTTTCAATATTATTAAAATTATGTATACATTTCTATTCTTATTATTATTATTATTGTTTTGTTTAATGAAGGCTGTTATATTAGCAGCCCTTACTTATCTAAATTACATTAGCAGCCACTATGCAGAGAGTGGATGAATA